TCGGCGACGCCCCTAGCGATACTCAAGCGATACGCGAAATCCAGTTAAGTGATCATCTGCACACCGCCAGACATACCACTGCTGCTGGTGCTGCTACTACTACTACTACGACGACGACGACGACTACTACCACTGCATCAAAAACGTCAAAACCTACTACTACTACTACTACCACTGCTGCTGCTACTACTACTACTACTACTACTACTACCACCACCACCATGACGACGACAACGACGACGACCACTTCATCAAAAACATCAAAACCTACCACTACTACTACTACTACCACTGCTGCTGCTGCTACTACCACTACTACTTCCACGACGGCTACTACTACCACTGCATCAAAAACATCAATACCTACTACTACTACTACTACCACTGCTGCTGCTGCTTCTTCTACTACTACTACTACCACCACCACTGCATCAAAAACATCAAAACCTACTACTGCTACTACTGCTGCTACCACCACTGCTGCTGGTGCTGCTGATACTACTACTACTACTACCACGACGACGACTACTACCACTGCATCAGAAACATCAACATCTACGACTACTACTACCACCACCACTGCTGCCGCTCCTAATCTACTACTACCATTGCATCAAAAACATCAAAACCTACTACTACTACTACTGCTACTACTACTACTACTACTACTATTACTACATCTACCACGACAACTACTACCACCACTGCATCAAAAACATCAACTACTACTACTACTACTACTACTATTACTACCACGATGACTACTACTACCACTGCATCAAAAACATCAAAGCCTAGTACTACTACGACGACGACTACTACTACTCCTGCTGCTACTACTACTGCTACTACCCCTCCTGCTGCTGCTACTGCTGCTCCCAGCAAAGGGCGACAGGTCAAAAAATTTGCTGGCACTATGTGTAGCGATACCACCCTTGAAGATACTCAGGACCTTACCACACAGAAGGAGTTTTGACCACCGCACTTCCTGTACCTTGGTGTAGTGTTGCAGAGGACCCTGCTGTCATCACATGGTCACCTGTCATCACCTGGAACAATGGTCCTGCACCTGCTAGGCCAATTTTTGAGGTTCTCCATCGAATTTCCTTGAAGCGTGACGGCGTCCAATCGGAAAGATGCGAATGCCCAAACTGAGACCAGGAAACGCCATGCGCGACGACAGGCCTTCCACAGTTTTTGTGGATCTCTTTGGACCCCACCGCCAGCTTGTGCCAGGTGTGTGGGAAGGGGGGAGGTCGAGACCTGCCACGAATTGATCGTGTTTGACCATGGCCACGGGTTTCTTGGATCGTCCAGGGTCTCTTCTATAGTGTCTACGGTGTTCCGTTATTCAAGACGTCTCTGTGGTAGGCTAGCTTTGTCACTTGACGATGGGGCATGCCAGCTGGAAGCCACGCAATGCACCAGCAACAGCTGGAAGTTGGACGGTCTACACAGAAGAGCCGATAGCTATAAGGGCTGCCCATCCCGTAACGGTGTGACATTTGTGACACCCATTTCGAAAAGACCCCGATCAACCAACATCATCCACTTGCTCTGGGTGGTGGCAGTGTCCAAACTATTTGAACTTTGACTTCATTCGGATCTCTTACTTGGTAAATGCGAGTCAGACCCCTTCCTCGCAGAGACCTTCGCTTGGCATTCCGGTTTGTCAGGAGGGGCTCCCCTCAGAGGGCCTTTGCGTGTATCACGACAAGTACACAGCTGTGGAGCTGGCATAACTTCTGGCCATGTTGCCACCTGGGTGCAGCCAACCTCCAGAAGTAGCCTCAAGCTGGAAGTGTATTTCATTTGACCACTGTGACCACCCAAAACCAGCTTCGAACAAGCTTTAAATCGAACCATTGTCAGGACCGCCCACATCGAGAATTTGGGTTTCCTCATGTTGCGTCGATCATCTTAAACAAATGATTCCAGGGGGTCATCTCACCTCGTGGACTGTTTTTTTTCCAAACCAATGGCCATAGCAGGGATGTCGGGGCCGAGGTACCACCCATAATAAGGTGGATCCAAGAATAGGGCGGATTGGAATCATTTGGCGCCGAGACCTGAGAGAGAGAGAGAGAGACGACCAAACGACACCTTCAAGTTCTGAACCATTCTGACTCCTGACACTGATTGTTGCGCCGCTCATGTCCAGCCAAAGGAGGTCTACCAAGAAGATCGACATGGATTGGAAGTTGAATCCTGTCAAGATCTCAAAAAAAATCCGCAATGTGAATGACATCATGGATTAGTATTTAGAATCAATATGAATGTTACTTTGTTATGCCAGGCATGTGTGTGTGAGAGGGGGTTCCCCTTGAGTAACCCCCGCATGATGTGATTTTACTTTTTGTGTAGGTTTAGGCATTTAGGGATTTCCAGGGGTCGTCCGGTGGGCCTTTGCAAGGCTACAAGCCTGCCAGTGGAAAGAAGATCCCTTTTTCTTTGATATGCTTGGCATGTGTTTCTGCCTCAAAACCTTCCAGCCGCCACCCCTTTCTGCTTTGGGCGGACACCTGGACCGTTTGCCAGGACCTTTTCCGATCCGGCCAATTTGTGCTCTCAGAGGTGGGCGGTCAGACGAATGCCTTCAGAACTGGAGGAGAGTCTAGTAGCTTCTTGTTACTACTAGTAAGGCACTTGTTACTAGAAGCGATGCACTTGTTTCTAGTAGCTTCTTGTTACTACTGTGAGGAATGGAAGTTGCTTTCACTGGCTCATAGATTTTGCTTGGACCTACTGGAGACAGTAGCCTCTACGCGCTACTCGGCTACTCCTAATTTGGCAATGGCATGGCCTCACACTTTGGCCGCTGATGAGGTGGTTGCAGAGGTCAACAATGAGGTGATCATTACGCATGATCCTGATTGGGACCCGATGGGCTTCAAACAAGTGGGTTTTGGCCGCTGTGTTGTGTTGCTTTTGTTGGTTTGTGAGATGGGTGTTCAATGATGGACGGGCTGGGTGAGAGAGAAATGGCTTGACTCTTTCTATATATATATATATTTATAACCGTTCGCCAGACAGATTTTTGGTGCCCGTCAGGTTGTATCATGAAAATCCACGCAGCCCCCCCTCACAGCCCCCCCCCCCCGGATTCATCCAAATTAAGAAAAGTGTCGGTGAAAATGGCGCTGTGGGTTGTCAAAATCAAGCACTCCTAAATAGTGCCTTATTAGAGACAAATTTAGATGAGTGGCTTCAAGCAATTGGCAAAAGGGTGCAGTTGAAAATAGAGCTCTAATAGGGCCTTATTTAGGGGCCCTAGAATATAGGTCCCAGGATCACGTGTGGACATGCTTGCCTCTCTGCCTGCCTGCCTGCCTGCCTCTCTGGGCTTTGTGGTCCGGCTCTGTGTCCGGGCCTTGTCCTCCTCTTGTCCTTGTCTGGCTGGGCTCTGTGTCCGGGTCTTGTCCTCCTCTGGTCCTCCTTTTGTCCTTGTCTTGGTGGGCTCTGGGCTCAGTGTCCGGGTCTTGTCCTTGTCTTGGCCGCGCCCCTGAACTCTGTGGCTGGGCTCTGTGGCCCGGCTCTGTGTCCGGGCGTGCAGTTCCCAAACAGCTGGAGGCTTTAGAAAAGTATACTTGCATTCGTTTCCACAAACATTGGAATTTTTAGAGTTGACGCCGACGCCCAAAAATGCTGACGCTGTTTGGGGTCTACGCTAGAATTTAAATGTTGAAGGATTTTGGAATGCGTTTTGATGGCTGCGAAGATGTGACACTCGCCGCGCCGGTCGCCACCAGATTCGCAGGACCCATCCAATTGAATATTTATTGTTTTTTCCAGGGGTTGAGGCAGCTGAGGGGCTGCACAGCAAAAATATTCAAGAACCGTGGGCCCTAAATCGGAAATGGATTTGCGCAGAACAAACAATGTTCATTGCATTTTTTTTTGGCGCCCGGTGACGCCGGTGCACGGTCGCCATGGCCATGGACATCACACCTGCATCATCTGTTGCGGATGACTATTCAGAGACGGTACTAAGCGGGGAAGCCAGTGATGCCCCAGCTTGGACCCAATCCAGTCACACTGAGCTGTGGCCTGCCAGTGACATGTCAGAGGACTGCCTTGGCCTAAAAATAGTATTAAAATAAGGCCCAAATAGGGTTCAATTAAGGCCCTGATAACCAAGAACCAAATTGAACAGATGCTTCAGATTTTGAGGGGGGTTCCACAACTAGGTTTTCTAGTATAAACGACGATGGAAATAAAAGCAGCAAAGCACGCTGATCGCAGGAGAAGTGGGACCGAGAGTCAGGGTTGGCAAAAGCAGCTCGGATTGCTCAAGTGGCTTGGCGAGTCGTTTTGGACAAGCTGGGCAGTGCAGCATTGGAGGCCCTTTTGTCCAAATGTTTAAAGGTGCCCCCCATTAACTCCAATGCAACATGCAATTTTATTGAGCTTTTTGCTCAAATGTGGCGGGTTTTAATCAGTGTGGCCGATTTCCATGGTCGCAGGACAGCCTCCTTTTTACCACCACTCGTACCTCAAGTAGTTGCACTGGCTGTTTTACAGCAGAAATGGCACTGGCAGTGCTACAGAAGACTATCAACGACAGCGGGGCTTTGAGATGTGGTGTGGCTTTCAGACCTGTCAGCGCTCATGCCAGCGTCTCAGTTTTACCCCGTTCTAATGGGCCAATACTCAGAGTTGAAAAGAACAAATAAGAAGGTCGGACGGGTTTACGTTTAATTTATTGTGCTTAAGTACTGTGGATCGAGCTTTTGATTTGGCCACGAGTCGAGGAAATCAATGCTGGCTGCCGGCAGCTGATTCTCGACCACCTTCAATGGTGCTACTCAGTCACTGGCACCTGCCACCGCCCATGCATCTTTGGAGACTTGGTTGAATGCGTGCCGCCTGGGTCCCTCTGTGATGAAGATCCCTTCTACAAGAAACTCTATGACTTTAACAGAGCCGACCTGATGAAGTCACAACATTGTTTCTTTTGCATGCAGCAGTGTCCTTTGTTTGGTCCGTCAGCCGAAAGTGACATGGAAGTAGCAGGACTTCCGTGTACGGATCAGTCTGCAGCTGGAAACCGCTTGTATCAAGAAGGGCCAACCGCAAAGGTGTTCTTAGCCCATGCGAAGCGGCACATCGAAAAGGAGACACCCCTTTTGATTTTGGAGAATGTTCAGGAGCGGGATTGTGGTTGTCCGGGATTGATTTCAGCATGGTTAAGGTTGCTTTTCAAACATAAAACAGCAGCCAACACCTTTTTGTGAGAAGGTGTAGTTCCATTCCTTATTTGGTGACTAATTTCTATCTAATTCAGGCCAATCAAAGATAGGATTGGGCCAGTTCTCCAACAGGAGCTACATATGGGTATCATCCACAAACTCTATGGGCTTTGGTACAACATCTTTCCCATCTATGTGGATCCAAGAGATGTGGGCCACTCTGGAGCTTCCAGAGCCCGAGTCTACATCATCATGGCCCACAAGCAGAAGGTTGCCCAGCGTTTTGACTGTCGAAAGATGTATGCAAGAATCTCTGCAGCGATGAAGGCTCTTGTGGCCACCACCCCGAAAGACTACTTTGTTGCAGACAAGATTGACATTCAGCTGGAGGCAGCGAGAGTGGCAAGAGTTCGCAAGAGACATTTGAAGCCGAAGGCGCCTACAAATTAAAGTGCAGGGGTGGTGTGCTGTAAAGTTTTGTAGTAAAGCCATTTTCGGGGTCCGGCTGGTTTAGCTTGATCACATTTCCCTGGCCAAAAGGCCGTTGAATTGGACTACTTGCTCAACCATCGGGAGCAGAAGGCAGTGGAGGATGCGAAGCAGATCTACTGGAAGAAATTCCACAGGGACCCTATGAAGGACGAGAACCTCGTGGTGTTTTTGGGCGATAATCCAAAGAGATACCTTTGCTGGAGCGGACTCTCAGAACATTTTTTGCGCAAGATTTTCCCGCCTTCCTCGGTGGTGTGGTGAATACAGTTGCAGTTGGGAGCCCCCTGCTGTAGTACCAAGATGGAGGGCTCCATGCTATTGTATGCATTAATTAGAGCTAATGTAGGCCTTATTTGAGCTCTAATCGGAGAGTCGCCCAACTAAGGAGCAAGCGGGCGCTTACCTACACTTCGAATGAACAGTGGCAAGATGTACATCGTCAAAGCCAAGCGGTGGTCGCCAAGCATTGTGGGTAGATTTTGCATTTCCCAATCTTAAAAAATAGATTTGGCAGTTGTGTCACACAGTGATTCTTTTTCCTGTGCGATGCCCTGGCGTTTGAGGCTTTGTGGCAGGGAGAAGCTGAGCACCCTTGGATTTCCAGTCTCTGGAGACACGGCGCTCAGTATGGGAGTGCCCCGCCTCCCAGTTTCCGACCCCGCAAGGGCAAGCCAGATTTCCGGAAATTGCATGCATTTTTCATGTATCCTGGTCATTCAATTGATCAGTCTCTGTTGTTTCACCAGGACAGATTCGGACTAGGTTCAGTGACAGGTCCCTAGGTGTGGCTTCAGATGTCAGAAATAGAGCAACTGCACGACAGTTTTTTGTGAGTTAGTTTACAATTCATGTCTGTATGCTACGCCAACAGCATAGCCGCCAGAAAGAAACATTCAGTGGTGCGCTTGCAGCTGAGGGATTGGGACGAAGGGTTTGTTTTTTGTCAAAGATTTCACCAAATTAAGGCCCAATTAGAGTCCAATTAAGGCCCAATTGTTATCCAAAATATAGTTATTGAAGGGTAATCAGCTTGGTTGGGTTGACGTGTTGCTTTGTCTAAGAGGTATTGTCACTGTTGCTGACAAGGCCCGCTGCAGCGCGCTCACGGTCTCAAACGATTTTGTCCGCTGTGCAGATTAGATTGAAAAGCCTAGTCTAGCTTCCGATGAGCTTGTCCAAAGCAGACCTGATCTCCAAAATCAAAGCTCTTGGGGAAGATCCTCCTGAGAGCTGGACAAAGGTGGAGCTCCTTGCAAGGTACAACGAGATGACAGCCTCTACTTCAAAGCGAAGGGCAAAAACAGACCTGCAGGAACAGATTCGTCGATTGAATGCTGCAAGCCGAAAGAAAAGTGAGTTGGAACAATTTTGCAAGGATCTAGGTCTGTCCACACCATCTCGCGCTACCATGGCAGAAATGCAATCGGCCGCTCTTGACCAGATCTACACCGTCACGCCACCGAATGGCTTGGACCATGTCGGATTTGGTCCATGGGCAAAGTTGACCTACGTCCAGTTGCTGCAAAAGCCAGACTTCTGCACACAGATCCTGACAGAGGCCAAGAATCCAGAAGGTAGGGCATCCCCACGGTTGAAGCGTTTGGCTGCCTGGCTCAAGGACAACATGTCATTGGATTCTGAAAAGGAATTGCCCGGTAAGACTCCTTGGGTTCCGCATGAGAAGACATCAGCTGTCGGAGAGCAACTTCTGTTGGATGCAATTTCGACCCTTGAAGAGTTGTACATGACCATGAAGAGCGATGAGAGCGGGGACAATGACTCATGGACTGCAGTGAGCGTGCCTTATGATGGCTGAGACAGCCTGATGAGGATTTCTTGGTACTTTAATTCAATTTGTCGGCAACTTCCCACGAGCTGGCACTTTTCAAGCTTCAGATGATATCAACATGTTTGATCATCATTAATGTCAGAATTTCGTTAGTTCGTGGGTGCGTGCTCAAGGACGCTTAAGCTGCAGCCTCAAGGTTCCAAAACACACGCTCTTGGGCTGGAGGCGATCATCACTATAGGGTTGGAGGCCATGGCTCTTAGGTTGGAGGCCATTGCTATTAGGGTCGAGGCCATGGCTATTAGGGTGGAGACTTTAGGGTGGAGACCATCGCTATTGGATTGGAGGCCATCGCTACTATTGGGTTCGGGGCCATGGCAGAATTTCAATTAAACCTTTTGAGAAAACCAAGTAGCGGGCAAGAACTTCTACATCTCGCCCGTATCAGATCACGCCGCAGCCGTATCCATTTGAGACTCGAATTCCCGTTGCCCAGCTGGATCGTTCACCGCAGATTCCGGTCATTTGTCATGCCTCCTAAACGAGGGAGAGCCAAGGGCGAAGGCGATTCTTTCAAGCCCAAGAACAATATGCTTCCTGGGTCAGAGGATGAGGAAGAAGCTTTACAGTAGCTTGAAAACAATGAGGCCCCAAGTCCCCAAGACCCAAAACCATCCTTATTTAGGACTTAATTAGGCCTTGAGTGGATCGACATTTGAATCCAAATAGCATATTGTTGTAACCGTTTTTTACAATTTGACCCATGGTTCTCAGTTTCCAAGGTATCCAAATGTGGGAGTTCCCGTGATTGAGAAGAAGCGACCAAAATCCGCAGCGAAAGCCAAGTCGCAGAACAAGGCGAAAGGTGGAGAGCGGACGTCTAGGAACCAGAACTCGAACGAATACAAAAAGATGCAAACCCTGGATGATTTTCCTGAGCCTACCTATTCATTCGCACATCATTTTGCTGATTTGTTGTCGCAAGCGTCCCCGAAATCAGCTTTTGTACAGGCCCTGCAAAGGTTGGTGGAGGTCTTGTGGCATTTAATGTTGGGTCCTGAAATCTGGTTCTTTACAGGCCCTCAACCTGTTTGTCCAGGTCCTGTTTCCGGATTGCCTAACTAAGGATGATGAATTGATGTCGTGGCTTGTGGGTTTGCAACACCAGAACCTTGAGGAAGACGTATTGCAAACGTGTCGAAGGCCAACACTGTTTGCTATCATCACTTTCATGACTGGACTTCTTGCGGGTGACAAGAAACCAGATGATTGGAGCTAAGCTTAGTTGCGTGTTGTTATCGATTTATCAAGGGATGAAATACCAACCCAGCAAACTGTAGTGGCTTTTTAATGTGTGAGCTAAGGACCAACAAAAGCGCCGTTGTGGAAGCATTGGCAACGCAGATCGTCAGACGCGGAGACCCCATTGGCAAAACCATGTGGGGGGCCTCCTGAAATCAGGAAGTATGTTCAGTACCAATTGGGCCTACTTAGGGAGGACAAAATCTCACGGAACATGATGGGTGGTTATGCTTTCAAGTTGCCTCTAGCCCCACATGACGAGTCGGGAACCCCTGCCCCCCTTCCAAAAGATGTGGTGACGTTTTTGGATGCCAGCAAGCCGGTCACTACGCTGCAGAAGATATCAGCCAAACCTGGCAAGTTTCCTGGCGCGCAGTGGCTCCCACATATGTGCCCCTCTCTTTCTCATCACCACCCGTTGGAATTCCCCAGAAGCACACCTTACGTTCCTTGTTTTCCCACTAATTTGCCATTAGTTTGCCATTATGTAGAGCAAAACAGGGACAACCCTGGAATAGGAAACCCAGCTTTCTCCTGCGATTCCGCCCAAGGTCTCAAGTGGATCTGTCCAAGGATGCAGGCAAGACAGCGACTGGTGGGAAGGTTGAGAAGGTGGAGAAGGGAGGATTGAAGAAAAAAAGGGAAGAAAAAAAGGAGGAGGAGGGGACGGGAGTGCTCTCCCTCAAGTCAAATTGCTGAGAAAGAGGGTCTCATTTCTAGCGATTATTGTATGTTTATCATGGCTTTGAGTGCAGGAGTCTCGGGCCAATAAAGTTCAGAAGCGCCCTGCAGCCGCACGAGAAACCGTTCGTGTTGCTGAATCTTGGCAATGAAGGCGCTTTATCGCCAATGTTCCTGTTGACCCACCAGGCCAACCCAACCCCAAGGCATGACAACCTGTGCTCTTTAAGATGTTTTCGAAGGGCTTGGCATGGTCCATTATTTGAGGAGCCACTTCAAATTCATTTGTCTCAAGAAAGGGAAACCCTTTAGAAGTCACCAAATGACAAAAACTCGGGTTTCATCCACTGTTGGCGCTCAGGACGACGACAAGGCACACTGCGGAAGCCATGTGTTTTTCCGTTTGCGTATGATTCACGTCAAGTTTTTGTGTCCTGGGGAAATGCATTTCGCACAATAATTTGCAAGAGCGGCCATGTGTTTCTGCAGAAGCACATTTTGCTGGTGGACAGGACTTTATCTTCTCAGATGAGGAGGAGGGCGAAGAGGTGGGCGAGGTGGACAACAAGCCCAATCCAGATGCGCCGTTCCTGGGGGTTGTTGAAAACAAGGTATATTTGGCAGACCCTTTGAATGACCTTCAGCTGAGGGTTCCAGGCAACGTTGACTTGATTTTGAAGAAGTTGCTGCCTCAAGACCCAGCAAAAGGACCTACATACATCCTTGATGCGAAGAACCCTGGGACCTCATTTGTCCCACGCTACACTCACCAGCTGCTCCAAAGCAGCAAAGTTCAACGTTTGTCGCAACTTGATTGAAAACAATCTCTTTGGGCTTTGTCGCTCGCATCTAGGGTTTTGAATTGAATCCGGATTGTGCTTCTGTAGTTTTTGGAATTTTTGCACTGGTCAGGCAAGAGCTTGCTGCACTGGCTCCTGAGGATGACCAGTACATGCCGTTGGTGAAAGCGGCAATTGAATGAGCCACCTTTCATATGAAGCCTATTTGATGCGTGACTGCTGAGCCCCCCAAAACAAGGCCCAAATAAGACCAAAATAGGGCCAACATAGGCTCCAGAACACAAATTTGCAGGTTGTCACGCAGCCCTTGCCTTCGATGTCAGGCAGAGTAGATTATTTCGGGGATTTTGGGGATTTGTAGAAGCTTTTCCAGAGGAGGTGCCAGGCCAAGGCATGTAACGTTGGATAATACATAACTTTCAATTAGCCGGAATGTACATTGTTGATTGTCGATCATCATCAGGCTTGGCAGCAGCTCTGGTCACTGGACAGGGAAGCCTTGTTCAGAATGATGGGGTAGCCTGAAATTCAGAAAATCGGATACTAGAACATTGATTGATTCCAACATTTTAGTCAAGCAGGCAGCTATCACTTTCAGAAGCAGTCTATTTGCATCGTTGTTTTTCCGTGAGTTCGTGAACTTTGAGTTTCTTTGTGTAACTCCTGCATCAGCTCCTTCATTGAAGACATCACAGCATTTGCCCACTTCTTGACAGCAGCTTTTTGAAGATCATTGACCTTCTTTTGTCTTTGAACGGCTGGGCGCCCGTCATGCCTTCCAGTAGGCAAAAGAGGCCTCGGGTTGACGAAGAGGATGACGAGGAGGAGGACCCGGAAATGTCACAGGTTGAGAACGACACTATGATGACAGATGACGACATGGAGTCTGATGGTGCAAAGAGTGACATGATTGAGTTTCTTGCCTGGCTGCGATCGGGGAGGTTGGGTTTTTGGAAGATAGGCTACATGACCTCTATCTCATTGTGTTGCTATCAACTCCCAAGCTGCTTGGGGTCCACATGTCCTTTTCACGCCCAGGTGGCCAGCTCCTCCGCCCAAAGGACGGAACTCAGACATGCGCAGTGAGTCAGGCCGAGGCAGCCGCACTTCCAACGTGGAAACTTACAAGCATCAGGTCAGGCTCAAAGACTTTGTGGTAAGCGCCTCATTTGTGCAGATCATATCAATAT